CTTCCAGGGATGGGGAGGCATCCACAACTTTCTTGGACAGCCTGTTCCAGTGCCTCACCACCCTCGCAGTAAAGCATTCTTTACTAATATTGCATTAAACCTACTGCCTTACAGTTTTAACCCATTCCCTTTGTCCTGTCACTATGTGCTCTTGTAAATAGTCTTGCCCCATTTAGTTGTGTTGTTGTTTCGTTGTTCTAATACCATGTTAGTTTGAGCCGTGTTCCAATTTATAGGCAGATCTGTTGCTCTTCTATCTAGTCCTCTCCAAATTCAGAAATAGTTCACTTGGGGTTTTTTTTTAAGTGCTTCTCCATGGTTTCCTGACGTGTTTAGGAGTAAGAAAACAAGAATCCCAACTATTATAAATTTATTACAGATATAATCTGGTGCAAATTGAGAAATCCTTGCAGAGTTCCTGCTGAGTGTTTTGAGCAGCTCAGGCCTCATTTTTCAGCCAGCAGTCATGTTGATGACTAGAAGGAAACTTTGAACTCCCACGTCATGTTCTGCCACCATGTGGGTGCTGTGACGGCACTGTAGAGCTTAGGAGATGTTTGCACCTCTCAGTGCATGACTGAGTTCTGGGGCTTCCTCCTAGAAAGTGTTTAGGGCTGAACCAGGTGTGTCTGACACTACGCTAGATTTACTCTACCCTTCAGATTTGTATTGTGCAGGAGTATTTTCATGAAGTAAAACAAGTCTTGGGAACGCTTCTTAGTGAATCAAGAGAGGTGTTAGGATGTGTATCATTAAGAAGTGGGGATTTGATGGTGCTGAGCTCTTCGGTCCTGTCCTCTGTCAGACTGACAGCTCCCTCTTGGCTGGAGTGGAGGCCCCCCAGCTGTGTGCTGTTTCTGAAGAGGGGATGGATGTTTATGCAAGGAGTTCTGAAGGAAGCGTGCCCTCTGACTGTTGTGCTTCCAGGTGAAGGAGCAGCTGCAGGGAGCTATGGCTATACCAACAGTGGCTACAGCGTTTATGAAGAGGAGAACGACAGGTTAACAGAAAGTCTGCGTACGAAAGTCAGCGCCATTAAATCGGTACGTATGGAACTGCAGTGGTGCCGCCACAGTCAGGAAACTCAGCTGTATGAATCAGGCAAGCAGTAGACGTAGTTTGAAGCAGAAGTTTAAAACTGTGATGTGTTAGCCTGGTCGGATGACAGGTGACTGCCAAAGCTGCTCTGTTACTGCTCAGGTGGATGGACAGGGGAGGAAAAAGCACAATGAAAGGATCGTGCATCAAGATAGGGGCAGGGAGAGATCGCTCACCAACTGCCATAATGAGCAAAACACACTCGACTTGGGGAAATGAATTCATTGACAATCAAATCAGTAGGGTGGTGAGAATTAAAAGATTTAAAATGCCTTGCCACTGCCTTTCCCTTTTTCCTGGGCTCAGCTTCACTCCCAATTTTCTCTGCTTCTTAACCCTCAGTGGTACAAGGAAATGGGGAATGGGAATTGCAGTCAAAAAAGATGTAATGTGAAAACATTCTTAGAAATGGCATGCTAATATCCTCTGAAGGAAAAGTTTGGCATTCTGATGGTTCTGATTCCTTTCAGAGACTGAAGACTTCTTTTAAACAAGTCTAACTGAAAGACAGCTCTGAGATTAAAGTTGTGTGGATTTCTTGTTCTTAAAAGCTTAGTTTTATAAAGCACATTGCAGTGAATTTTTTAGGCCTGAACTCACTCGAAGTCTTACTGCTAATACTGTTGCTTAAAATTGATTTAGTCTCAAAGAGAAATGATACAGGTTTAGAATATGAATAGAGCAAGTTAAAGGGTAAAAAAAAAAGCTTTGACCTTTGTTATCAAATTTCATTTCTTGTCTCCTGCTGTGGTGTGTTGCGTTTCAAAATCCATGTATGTCAACAGAGCAGTTCATGGTTCCCCAAGGAGATCTTTCTGGAGTTGTGTCTTTTAGTGCAATGCGATCATCTTGGCGTATGGAATAGCCTTCACATAATCCAAGAAGCCTCATGTAAAATCAGTTTCACTCTTGATTGAAATGCATCAGTACAAGATAATGAGACTCAAGTTTTGACATGTGAAAACAAATCGGTTTTGGCTAATCCAAAGCATGGGGCCTGGAGTGCATTTCCCTCCATCCCAGGAGTTGAGCAGGTTGTTCAAGGCCAGTGTGCTGATGACAGAGGAAAGGCCACTAAGAGTCAGGCTCAGTGTCAGTTCTCCCCTGTTTAACTCCAGAGCTGCTTTAAGCCAGGGCTCTTCTGGCTGGCTCCCACCTTTGTGATGTTGCAGCTCCAGCTGTGCCTGGTCTCATACCTCCCTGATTCCAACCCTAACCTGACTTCACTTTCTGGCTTGACCTGGGACCTGTCTCAGGCTTCTGCCCAGGCTGTTGCTGGCCCTGGACACTGCCTCAGGACTGGCCCTAGTGCAGCATTCCTCCTTCTGTTCTGTGACATAAAACAGAGAAGGGCTACACAAGTTCACTGAAGAAAGTCCTGTTTATAGCACAGCAGCAGCTTGTCAAAAGAGATGTGTTTGCAGGTTACAAGTGTCAACTCCAGCAACACCTTGAGTCAAGCCAGTGCTCATGGTTCTCTCTGCTGTGTGCCAGCAGTTTTAACAGTTGTTCCAGGAATGGGTAATTGCTACTTCAGACTTGACTAGATCTTGAGTTTTTTAAAGTCCATCCAATAATTCAAGTAAGGCATTATCTGGAAAAGGGGAAGAGGAGCATCCAGTACTTCCAGTGACTCTTTAGACTCATCTAGTCAGATGAAAAATCTTTTATTTCCCTGAGGGTTATTGATAGACTACTGTGCATGTTATTTTGATTTTTGAAAATACCATGTATTTCACTGGGGAAAATGCTAGTCATGTCATGTATTTTTGACTGGGTTCTCTAATCTACATATTAACTGATGATTATTCATATTTAATACTTTTTTGTTTTTGTTTTGTTTGTTTTTTTTTTTGATAGCTTTCCATTGAAATTGGAACAGAAGTTAAAAACCAGAATAAAATGTTATCAGAAATGGTAAGCTTTGGATAACTAGCTTTCTTTAAAATATGGGTCAGGATTAGAAGTTAATAATGTAAAGCATGCTGTCTTTTAGTATGAACATTGGTATTAAAATTTTGACAGCTTATTGTTGACTGTAACATGTGACTGATTTGTCAGCAGTACCAGTATTTCTGTTCAAAAAGATAAGATGTGCAAATACATTACTCTTAAGGCACAACCTTGATGTTTATGCTTCAGATAGGAGTATAGGTTTTCAATCAGCAAATGTCAAGTATCATTAAAAAGGTACTTCTGTATTTAATTGCATTCAAGAATAGAAGAAAAGGAGCAAAAAATAAGGGAGTCAGAAATGCCTTTTTTGCTTACACTTTGCTTCGGCTTGGGGTAGTAATAGCACTGGATACACGGGTGAAAGTTTCTGCCTCTAAAATAATTTTAGTTCTGGAGACTTTGAAAAAACAGGGAAAATTATATTTAGTGAGTGGTAAGAGTATTTCTTTCTCAGACTAACATGTTTTTTGTTCTTTTGTTTGCTTGGTTGTTTTTTTTTGATGTAGGAGAATGATTTTGACTCTACGGGTGGACTTCTAGGTGCAACTATGGGCAGACTGAGAACACTCTCCAGAGGAAGCCAGACAAAGCTATTATGCTACATGATGCTCTTTTCATTATTTGTTTTTTTTGTGATATACTGGATTATTAAACTGAGGTGATGCATGTTACCTCTGGTTTACATTGTATAATTTCAACTGTAGTCTTAGTTAATGAAGACGTTGATTTAAAGTGGCACATTTTGTGGATAAAACAGTGAAATTGTTGTAAATTGCATTAACAATTAATGCAAAATTATATATAGTTTTCTTAACGTATCAGAGTTTTTCCATCATCCCCTGTTTTGGGGGGATTATTTGTAAATATGCAGAAACAGCTAGCATAGCGGGATGGATTTTTTTAGGGGAAAATAGTTATTAGATTTGATTGAAAAAATTCAAATAACAGTGGTTATTTGAAAATGAAGTAATTGCAGAATTTCAAGGCTTTCTTTTTCATTCTGCTTTTCATTCTGGGCCATGCTCTAAATTAGAGCTCCAGTTTCAGGCATATAATAATTTCAGTTGCAAGAACACAAAGAATATGTGCATCTTTCTAAACAGATCTTACCTGTGGAGTTTTAAAGGCTAGCCTGAAGCTAGCAAATGTAATAGTGATAGCCCCAAAAATTACTTTTTTTGTTTAGATCTGATGATGTTTAAGTAACTTTAACTGAGTGTTTTGAAAAGAAGTTACTTAAAACTGGATTTTTTATTTTTTAATTTAAATGTGACAAATCATGTTTACACATCTACTCTTAAGCAAATGCGTTTCATCATTGGGACCAACCAATATGGACACAGTACAAATGTTTTCTTTATATTTAAAGTATATAAAACTGAAATGATTCAACTGAATCACTTGAACTTTTACCATTAGTATGTTTAATTTTCAGTTAGTGATAGTCCCTAAATCTACAGTGCATGATGTCTGAAATACAATGGCAGATATTTTGAATTTTATATATTAAAGTATATTATGATGCATTTGTTGGAGGTGCAGTCACATTAGGGTATTTTATTTTGAAGACTTAGTTTTGGCTCACCAAGTAGTTTCTAATTATTGAAGCTATTATGTTGCTGAGTTGAACATTCAAAAAAAAATAAGTTTGCTAGATATTGAAATTGTATTTACAAGTTTTGGAAAACCTTTTTAGAAATACTGTATGATGTGTTACCATTAATGACCAATTATGAACTTACAAATAAAGTGTCCTGTAGTATTATCCTAGCTAGTGTTGTTTATATACATTTTTTTCTTCTGTAGAATACCAGTGTATTTTTTGGAAATGGTATGTTTGGAAATGCTGTATTTAGGGACAATTTTTATTTTTTCAGTCAATAATACAGGCTGCCTCTTGCAGTGTAAATGGCTGCTTTAGGAAGACTTTAAGTAATTATGCACAGTTTTCTTATTAATGTGTTTATTTTTAATATTTTTCTTAACACTAATGCACAAAACATGGTACATTGCTGCTGAAGTTCAGGCCTCCGCAAGCTTCAGATACACTTAAACAGTTGTTTGTAGAATTCTGCAAATAAAAATTTGACACAACTCCCATCACCAAAAGTCCATGACAGAGTGGAGTACAAATTGATACGGATTTGGCAAAGATGACAGAGCTCATTTTAATGATTGCTTGCTAAAAGTGAAAGATAGGGAAGGTACCTGTAATTGAGAGGAAAGGCACTGTTCTGGGGTTTCATTATGGCAGGGAATAATTTGTGCCATGATTGTTCATCTTGAAAGCAAAGCTATACTGAAATGAAATTAAGCTACATAGCTTCCATTCATATGGAAGTTCTGTTTCGTAATTGTCTGCATAGATGCTCTGAAGCGTAGATAAAGCTTGATTAAAGAACATACTTTTTTTCTGTGTGATTAGCATGGGTCATTGGAAAACTTAGGTAACCCACTGAGAAAACAGAATACAAGTTTTCAGAGTGCTTCATATCAACAAAAATTTGACACTGGAAAGCACAGAGTGGTAATGGTGAAAGACATTGATGTGCATTCTGATGGCAAAATTACTGATCTGTTTTCTGCTCGAAGTGTAGTGGCTGCTTGTCACCTTCACTGTGCAGCACAAGTCATGCTCTTGCTTTCTTAATTTTCAAGGAAGAGTGCAGATGCGTCACTTTCTTGGAAGTATGTCCATGTATTTGCATATGATGGAAAGCATGGTTTCATCTGTGCCACCTCCTATTGACATCAGTCTCAAGTCCCTGCAGAAACAGAAAGGGTGGATTTAAACATTTGCGTGCTGTTCTGATGGTGCTGTGCTGGACAGCTTGCCCAGAATTACTTACACATCGCATACAAATGCCACATGCCTGCAGAACACCTCATCCACTGGCTCCTGGGCAGGTGGTCTGTGATGCTTCCCACAGCACCCCTGCTGGGCCTGTCCCAAACCTGAAGGTGCCTAAGCCTGCAGTTGAACTGTAGGAGGGGAGGGAGCTTTTCCAAGGCCAGCAGCAAAAAGCATTGCAGCACTTAAATTTGCTTAACTGTGGTAAAAGAGTCAACCAGTACATGAGGTATTGGAGAATTGCGCAGAAAGGGTACAATTTCCATTCAAGATTTTTAACCCATCCAGGTTTTTCTAATGGCTATATAAGATCTGGTAAAAGCCTTATTAGTATTATATAGAACCTTACTGTTACATAGTATAATACTACAAGTAGTTCTGTATAGTATTCTAGTGTAGTTTTATATAGTCTATAGAGCTTCTGTGCTTTAAATATTAATGACTGCTTCAAGAATATGTACTCTTTATTTGATATTTCTAATCACACTCATTAAAATCTGCCATAGCCATCCCAAGTCAACCCTAACAGTATTGCCTAAGTTCCCTGTGCTAGCCAGAGCACTAACTACTGCAGCCTCAAGCAATTTTACTCACAAATATTTTACCTCAGGGGAGAAGGAAAAAACACCACCACTAAAACTACCAGAACAATTCCAGACTACCTCTGCTTAGTAACTGAAGATTCCCCAGCTTCTTATGGGCCTTCCTGAAGGCAGCAGACCTGGAACAGTGGTAGGTTGCTTGTTCTTAGTGCTGTGGTGCTGTCTGCTTTGTCAAGCTGCAGAAAGCCCCGGCCAGTGCTCAGCATTTGGCATCTTCACTGTAGCAACAGCAAGTAACTAATCCTCTGAACTCCTCTGTGATGTCAATAGAAATCCTCTCTCTGCAGCAGGAATCCTGGACACATGGGGCTCGTTCATACGAAATTATAAATAGGCAGTGGTAAGATCTGGCTTTGGTGGTGTGTGACAGAAAAGTCAGGCTGTCACATATAAAGACACATCTCAAAAAACCAGAACACCTTTCGTATGTTTTGTGCTTGTGTATATCTTTACAAATTTGCTGATAATTATATTTTTGTCTCTATGGGTGAGATAAGGAATATTTCTTAGAGAATCTACAGCCAGGTGACTAATGCTGATCTCTCCTCTGGGGGGCCAAGACAGAAGGTTTTCCCCTAATTTAAGCAGATCAAGATGACAAAAGACACAAATTATTTTAATCCAGCAGCCCTCTTCTGGGAAAGAAAATTGCTTTCATCATAAAAAGATGAGACCATGGGATTAACAATCCTGCCAGCAACTCTGTAAGTAAGCTGGGAAAGAGCACATAGTGAAGTCAGCTTTTATATCAGTTATTTAATGTATGCTTATGCTTTGAAAGTTTATCTTACATCATTCTTGAATATTTATGTGCTGTATTATTAATACAGCACATAAATATTTCATTAAATATAACTACTGGAATTTGATTGCTTTTGTAAGGGACGTTGTTAGGCTACTGCTGTAAAGGCTTTTGATCTGGCACAATAACATTTTGCTTTTGATTTCTGCATCACCATTTTGTTGCCACACGACAGCAGCACATCCTGAAATACCTGCAGCCCTGCTGAGGTGAGCACCAACCTGGGGTGGCTTCCCCCTAACCAAGGACCATGAGGAACCAGCCTGCAGCACACCAGGCAGTTTGTAAAGGTCTCATTTTGAGGGACCAAACCTCTAGCTACTTGTTGAATGTCATCGGATGCTTTTTTCTTTAGAGAGTGGGAGTTAACCTGAGGAAGGAGAGAAATCCAACTATTGTGTTGTATCCCTCTAAAATATTCCCTGTGAAGAGTTTCCTTACATTCAGGAAATCCCATGTGTCTGAAATACTTCCTGTAGATTATAAGACTTCACTCAACCAAATCAAGAGATATAAATGGTAAAAATTAATCCATGTTTTAATGAATAAAAGCAAAAAATTCTTCAATGTCATGTTAAAAAAATGCACTTAGGAGGGAGGGTGAGGAGCCCTTCCCACCCACCAAACTCAATCCAGGTAAGCAATAACTTCTAGTCAGGTAGCAACAGGAAAAAGAGAAGCCCTCCACATTGTCAAATCATGTTTCCCATCTCTATAGAAGCCATGTCATACAGCCTTCAGAAATGTGTCAAGCACTGCTTGAAGGAGAAAAAACAAGCTCCCTTTAATCTTGGACTACCCTAATTTGAAGGTTATGAGATAACAAAGTTCTTCTAATGATTAGGAACCCTGTAATTTACAGCCTGAAAATGTATTTCTGAATAGTTTAATCCAAAATAGTCTGCAGTTTAACATTCCTCTGTTGGCTGGTGTTGACCCCTCTGCACCCTGAGGGACATTTGGACCTTGTTTTTCACAAGCTAAGCCATGTCTATTACCCTGCCCCTAAAACTTTTGGTCCCAGTTTTCCTGAAAATCAGGGCCAGTCCTTATCCCAGTCTGCACGATTTCCCCAGCAGGGACATGTACTCATTCGTAGCACAAGCAAACTTTTAGATCTTGTAATGTGCTATATGCAGCTCATGGCACACTAAATCTGTCTGTAGCTTCAACCTGGTAAAATGTTGTCGTGTTTGCAGTTGTCTCTTCCAGTACCATTTATTACCTACAGCTGAGAAGCTGGGTATGCTCTGGGAGTTGCTCTACACTACATTTTCCTCTGGAAAACCATATGGAATTGGATTGAGGCACTTTCTGCTCCCAAACAAGCTGAGAGGAGCCTGCTGCACTATCTATGATGCAGGTGTCTTCATGAAACTTCAAATTTCCTGCCAAAATAAACTAAGAATTTTTTTTCTTTTTCTTGCAGTGGTCAGTGCCAGTCAGACAGGGGGAAGAAAGTGAGTTTTGGTGATTTAAGCCCTGGTTTCCCCTAATAGCCTGGCATGATGGCAGCAGTCCCTCAGAGATGCTGCTCTCCGCTTCCCTGGTTAGAAGGCCATTGGTAAAAACCTTACCAAGGTCCGCATAGCTCAGAGCATCACTGCTTCCCTGGCTATACACTGCTGCTTTTCAGCACAAACTGCACTTCATTACAAAACCTTTACCCTTTTTTTCTCATGACTCACGATTTCAGGTTTTAACCATTTTAAGGTTTTGTTACTGGCAAGAATTATCTCCAAAAAAGATGAACCCTCAAGCCTAATATTTTGTAACTTCTTCCATATTCAGGCTGTCTAAATTAAGCAGAACCTGAAGGAGGCTTTATTCTAGAGAGAAGAGTTTGAGCTGGTGCCACCCAGTGCAGCAGGCCTCTGACCAGGCTGGCACAGCCTGCTCAAACCCACAGCTGTGCCTGCCAGTTCCCCTGACCCTGTTCCTTCCCCCTCAGGGACATTCTGAGGCCAAGATGAGGGAATGGGCATCACCTTGGCCTGCTCTGAGCATAAAGCAGAGAGTTGAGCATAGCTCTACTTTAAAGTCATCGCTGTACAGTTACCTGCCTTGATTTGCTGTCTTAAAGGTAGATGTCATGCGCTTCATCTCCTAAACTCCTTCTCAAAGTATTCATAAAAGTCAAAGTGGCAGACAGGCATCTGTCTCAAAGCCTCTGCAGAAAAAGGTGGAAACTGCAGATTTTGTTTCACAGATGATGGGAACTGGTATTAAGTCTTGTCTCAGCAGTTAGCTACAGACTTCAAAGCAAATTGTCTTTGTCAGCAGAAATGGATAAATTTCATTTTGTTTGGTACAACTATACTATATTGAAATAAACTGATTAAACTCTCCAATTGTCTGGACTCACTCAAGTTTAGACATGTTTTGTAAAGAATGAAAGACTATAAACAATGAAATAAAAAATGAAACTGAATGAAGTATTTGAACTAACTTTTTAAACATGCGAAGGAAAAAAAATCTAGATGGAAATACATTGCTTTTAAAAAAAATCCCTTAAAATTATACAGAAGATTTTTTTTAACTATCCTCAATCACAAATAGACATTCATATTGCAATAACTACATGACATTTGAGGAGAAAAATGAAAATGTGTTTCCTCTGCACCTATGCATTTGCAATGCTACTTACACTTCTATTTCACATGAATAGTCAATATTTTTCACTACTGCTTTCTTGAGTCTTTTTCAATGTCGCAAGTAAAGAAATTATACCATTCTCCCCATCACAACCCACAGGAGAAAAACTTGTAAGAACTGGAAGCAGTTAGACATGATGTTTAACAGATAATAACAATGTTAATTAAAAATAAACCAAACAAACTAAACTCTTTTAAGAAGACAGCATAAGTACTTCCTATAACAATTGAAGTGCACATAATTACTATTAAAATATATGGATCACAACCTGAAATTCTTTAAAACACAGGAAATCTGAAAAATTGCAGTAAACTTGATACTAAAAGGTTTCTTTCCTCTATCTCTCATAACTTGGGTTTTTCATATAGATGATGGGCTTCTTCAATAATAGGTTTTTGCCAAATCACGATGTCTTTTAGGCCTTTTAGACAGAGGACATAAAAATAAGCATGACTCCAGGCTTGTGCTTCCTTCTCCAGAATCCTACCATTAGGGTACAGTTTGGAAAGTCTATTCTTTATGGGTTTTATATGGCTTGCATTTTTCTATGAAACCTTTTGATATTTGGGCTCTAAGGTTTTTTGTTGTTGTTTTTTGTTTTTGTTTTTGTTTTTTTTTTGTTTGTTTGTTTGTTTGGGGTTTTTTTGTTCTTTTTTTTTGTTTGTTTTGGTTTTTTTTCTAACCTATTCTTATTAGAATCTGTACAAGTGAGACATTTATATATATAAAATCAACCCAGTATAGACACCTACATGGTGAAGCAGCTCTCTTCATGCTTTCTACAGAATAGGAATTAAGGAATGCCAGTCGTTCTACAAAGTTTAAAATGTTACTGATTAAATGACAGATATGAATAAAATAAGTTCGCAAACAGTTTTGTGCTGTTTCTGTTTATGATCTCTAACTGACTGTAATAACTAAAATTTAGAGACTTCAAGCACTAACTATGCATTGTGCTGTATGTTCTTTGAGGAGTGAGTAACAGCCTGGTGTGTCAAAGACTAACCTGCATCTCTTCGGAAACTTCATAAAGATTACGCTACAAAAATGTTTGAACACGAGGACTAGATGTCCTGCTGTGCAATTATACTGCTGCTACTGGACAAACATCACAGTGACGTGAATGGTTACTCAGACTGCTGTACTAAAAAGAAGGGCTTTAGGGAAGTTGCTGCTTTGCTTATTGTTACAGATTAACAAGATTCTATCTTGCACGTGTAATTGTTTATTTAGGTAAAACTCTCCTTGTCCCTTCCTCCTGGATCTTTGGTTACTCAATGGTGGAATTTTACTGATTCATAGAAAATTTCAAAGTATAAATATCACAATGTCTTTACCCTCATTTATAATAGTATTTGTTTTAGAAGTAAAAAGATACATTTCTTTAGCCAGCTGACTGTGTATGCCAACAGGAAACACTCTGGATTTCTTCTAAGGAAAAATGTGACTGTGCTGTTGTACTTGGAAATCACTCTGGAATCCACACAGAAAAGCCCTGCTCACAGTTAGCACTACTATACTGGGCTAGGAAATCTTAAACAAAACTATGTAAAAGCACGTACATGTTAATCTGTCCAGACTACATAATTTACACTAAGTGCTGCAAAGACAGGGATTAATTTTATTCAGATTTCCTACTGCAGTAGCTCTTAACATCTCTATCAGCAATGACCATTACTTGTTAAAATAAGGCTGTGAAAAAAATAACTAAGGAAAACCATCATATTGACAGCTGACTTAAAACCGCCATGATAATGCAGTCTGTACCTTTTTAAGAAAATTTCAGGAGTCCACTTGTCAAAAATATTGAGGATCCTTGACTTACTGCAATGGCATTATTGTTCATAAAATGCTATTAAAAATGGAAAAAGTAACTCAGACTACCTAAGAAGAAACAAGCTTTTTGCAGATTTTCTCAAGTGTTTTGCTCTCACTTTACACAGACACGTTTACCAAGACTTTCAACTAACTGAATCACTGATTTGGCTAACTTTGGATTAGATATTGTCTATGTAAGGGCTGAACAGAAAGCTGTTACTGCAAGAGAATCCAAGGTCAATTTTGGTCCTTCTACAGAATACAAGACACTGAGGCCAGATACCAAGAAAACTGTTTCCTTAATGAGAATTTTGCTCTAAGTAGACAGAGACTAAAATTTGAAGGGACTTCAATTAATTTGCAAAAAGGCCTCTGTACCATTTTAATGATCTAACAACTTTCTGGAAGCAATTACATCTCTTGTATGTCTCACATGGTATCTAGTGTGACTAAAAGGGTGGAGACTGCTGTCAGAACAGACTACTGCAGAAGCCAAGTGGGGAACTCCAGTTTCGCACATGTCCAGGGAAAAAGATAAAGCTGATTTTCATCCATTTCAGAAGAAAGCTTCTGGTTTTATTTCTGTTCTTGTAATCAAGATTACAAGCAAACAAAAAGCAAAGAGAAAAAAGTCACTGGTTGGTAGCTCAATTTTCCCACCCTTTTTTCTACTCTGTGGCAGATACCAGAGGACCACCATGGAAAATACTGAGTTGTCCTCTTTCATTTGACGTTTAAGCTAACCTGTGGGCAGTTCAAACTTCACAACTGTAATGCAAAGCCAAGATTTGGCAAAAGAATAGTAAGTTCCGACACACGTCTACCCAAAGTTAATTGCACTGGGTGTCCCTTCATCCACAACCCACTTCAGTAGCATGCTATGAAATGGAACAAGACCATTCACACTGGTGAGAAGCTGGTGCTCTTTTCAAGTAGGTGATTGCTTAACAGGACATTTAAGAGGTTAAATTTCAGTTAAAGCCACTTTGTATTTTCATCACTCCCTTACCTGTAAAGCCTGCTCACGAGAACTTCACTGGTGAATCCCATTCCTCCCCAAAACTGGAGACAGCTGTCAGTCACTTCACGGGCCAGACGACCTGACTTTAGCTTAGCCATGGAAGCCAATTTTGTCACATTGTTGCCTTCTACATAGAGAGCTAATTAAAAAAGAAGAGATAAAAAAGCAGTCACTTTGGAAGTCACCTCCCCATGTTCCTTTAGCCTGACAAAGTTCTTTCACATCTGGGAAGCTGACGAGGGAGCTCACCCACGGCGCGGTGCAGCAGCGAGCGCAGCAGCTCCACTTCGGTTGCCAGCTCAGCCAGGCGGAAATGCACGGTTTGGTTGTGCAGGACAGGCTGGCCAAACACCTTCCGCTGCCGTGTGTAGTCAATAGTTTCTTGTATAATCATTTCCATTGGTGTCAGGGCTGGAAGAAACAAAGCACAGAACACATCATTTTAGCCAGATCTGTTTAGCTTCCTATTGAAAGAGAAGGGTTTTTCACGTTGTACAACCAACACATTAGTTTTATAAAGGAAATTGTTCTGTACATCCAGTTTGGGATGCAGCTTCAGTTCTGAGAAGAGTCTAGTACTTCCTTGTACCTTGAAGACATCTATCTCACTTGAGCCCTAAACTGCCAAAACCTGGAAGAGAGGGAAGAGAAGTGGGTAGGAAAGGGGGAGAGTCATAAAAAGCAGTACCAACATGATGAGGTAAACTTTATGCTTAGTGTCTCATTTAGGGCCCTAGCAAAAGCTTGTGGCAACTCCTACTTTCCATGCTACCTGTGTCCTGAAGGTTTGTTAAAATCCTGGAAAAAAAATCTGAAGGGAGACAGTGTAGTGTGCTTGGTGAGGAAGGCTGTAGAAATGTAAATTGATGGAAGCCTTCAGGGAGAAGGCAGAAACCTATTCTGAGATCAAGGAACACAAATAGACTGCTTATTATGTCTGCGTTCCGTGATCCCAGCATAGAGAAGAAAAAATTCACACCCACTTTAAAAAAAACATTAAATGATTCTCCTAATGGAAAACAGAATGAAAACAGGGTACTGCTGTAAAACAGGTGAGAGAGGCAGCAGATGATGCTTTAAAGCAGAGCTAGTTTGCTGCTGCTTTTTGTGCAAACTGAGACATATCTCATTTTAAACAAGAAAAAAAAGGGAAAAGTTTCTCTTCCAAGGCAAACCAGCCTTGAAGTGAATGACTAAGCTATCAGTCCCTTGCAGTGTAGCTGGGATAACAGCAGATACAGAATGTGTGGAGAATTTTGTTTGGCAAATATGGACTCATGTTGCTATGACAAGCAGCAGGGCATGATTTCACAAATCTATCTGTATGAGAAGGGTCACATTTTCTTTTCCAAAATACGCATATCCACATCCATTTGCATTTAAAGTGTAAACCACAAAACTCTGAATGTGAAATGCAAAATAAACCTAAGCCTTGGACTAGTATGAAATCCCTTTTCCTACCTGCCAGTTACTCACATGATAGTCCCTTGCAGGAGCCTGGTGTGGCTCCACGTACCTTTTTGCTTTGTTTTCAAGATCACTGCTATTTAAATTTCATCTCTGAACTTCTATCCTGTGTAGACTCTGCATCCCACTAATTCCCCCTGCCATGATCATTCACCATCACTTCCACAGAGCACCATTTTTCACACGACGTCTCCAAACTCCATAGGGTGATCAGCTTTTCTCATTACCTAAATATCTTCCCCTGCTTTCTCATACAACTTTCTCATGCAACTAACCTCAATGCTTATTTTTTCAAAAAAGCATATACAATAATGTCCTCATTTCTTGTGTTAACATACTATGTTGTCACTCAAATGCTAGCTTTCTGGACAGGAAAATAAATTTCTGTCTTCAGGAACATCTCTTGAATAGAAATACTGTCCTTCCAAAGGACAATATCACACAACACTGTAGCATGTATAACACCAACAGCTTTTTTACTTGTATGTCTATGGTCTCCAGGTTGAGAAATGTAAGGAAAGAGGAAGGAGTATCCAGGCACCACTTGTCCCTTTCCCTCCAACTGAAATCTGGGAAGAATGCTGTGCAGTCTGAGCTCCTGGGTGGGAAACGAAACAGTACACGCCAATGCTAGGAGAGTAGAAGGGAGGTGGAAGGGATAAAGACAAGGGATTAATCTTGTGTTGATCTGTCACTGCAAGGTGCTCCAGCGTGGCTTGTGTGGTCCCCAGCATCCAGCACCAGGGAAAGAGGGGATGGGAAACAGCAAAGAGGAGGCAGGGGCAAGATCAGCCGGGAAGAAAGGACAGAAACTGTTTAGGTCCTGCTTGCAAAAGGTCTAAAGATCATGACTTTGTCCATACTCTGCTCAAGCTGTCATCAGACATCATGGCTCAGACTGGGGTTCTGGGAAAACTGCTCTTACAGTGTCCACCTCTCCAATTCACTGCCTCCTTCCTGCCCCTGCTGATCCATCCTCCTGTTTCCTTTGCTGCCCTTCTTCTTATTTCAGGAACTGTCATTTGCACACAGAAACAGAAGAAATCTAAGGACTGTCCTGGGCTGCTTCAAAAGAGGCCATCACGTCAAGGGTCATGATTCTCTCCCTCTATTCTCCTGAGACCCCGTCTGGAGTACTGCATCCAGCTCTGGAGCCCACAATACAAAACAGCCACTGATCTGTTGCAACAGGTCCAGAGGAGGGTCCTGAAGAAGATTAAAGGGCTGGAGCACCTCTCTTATGAGGACAGGCTAAGAGTGTTGGGGTTGTTCAGCCTGGAGCAGTGCAGGCTCTGGGGAGGCCTTATTGCTGACTTTTGATATATAAAGGGAGCTTATAAGAAAGATGAGGACAGAGTTTTTACTGGACCCTGTAGTATCAGGACAAGGGGGACTGGTTTTAAATTCAAAGAATGAACAAAAGGAAGAATATTTTGGAACTGGAACTACATGATCTTCAGGGTCTCTTCCAACCCAAACCATTCTACCATTTTACAATGCTAAGAAATTCCTTATGAGAGTGGTGAGACACTGGAACATGTTGTCCAGAGAAGTTGTGGGTGTCCCAAGACACATCCATTCCCTGGACATGTTCAAGGCCAGGATAGATAGGCTTTGAGCAACCTGGTTTAGTGAAAGGTGTCCCTGCCCATGGTAGAGGGATTGGATGTGATGAACTTTGAAGGTCCCTTCCCAAACCATTCTGTGATGCTGACAACAGGTGCTCAGAGCTCTGAGCACAGCTCTAACATGGCAAAGCCTGGCAGCACCAAAACGCAGCACATCATGAATACCATGACAGCCACCAGCCATGTTCAACAAGATAACAGCAGACAGCACTTTCCCACTCACAGGAATTCAGAGAAATGCCATTCATAATAGGGAACCTCCCTCTTTTTCTGTATATTTGTTTCCTTTTCCTATACAATGTTCCCCACATCCTCAGACAAACTTAGCCCCATGGGTTTTAACTGACAGCATATGCAGGAAATGTCACTCTAGGGCAGCCTAAGGAATGCATGGACTACCACACAGCTGAGAATTGTGAAAGCACTTGAAGTTGCCAAATGCAGAATAATCTTTTCCTCGTAACTCCATCCAACGTAATTACTACACTTGAAATTTCTGTTCACTGTAAAGACACTTTGTCTAGTTGCTGTGTTTCCTCTCAAAAGAAAAGGAAATTAATATGTTTTTTCTAGGTTGTGACTGATCACTCCCCAATGAAACGTACAGTAAACTCTAAGCTGAGCAATCTGATTCTTAAGGACGTGTGTTGCCTATGCAAAAGGATCTGTCATCCTGCTTACTGGCCATGACTCAATGGTGCTCATAAAACTGAAGTTGCAGGAGCAAATAGAATTTATTAGAAAAGTGCTATTGTGCTCTCACATGCACACTGAATTCCCTCTTGTCTCTGAGTTAAGCAATTCACAAGACAACTGTTTGCTTTTTTTGCCATAGCAACATTCTTTTCCTGTGATCAGTGCAACAGGCCCTCAAACGGACAGTGTTTACCAAGTGTCACAACACAGGTGACATGTGGCACCTTTTTTCTTTCAATGAAGCAAGAAACACAGTGACTTTGACCAATGCCTTTGACGATATGTCACTCAGAAGAAGAGACCACGCCTGGGACCAAATTTTGCAATTCCAGGAAGTTAGTTTTCCATTTGTATTTTAAACCTGTTTGACTGAAAATAGATTTTAAAAGGAAAAAAAAAAACAACAAAACAAGTGAAGAAAGATACTGGTCACAAAGAAGATAATTAATAAACAAAAAGAAGTCTAGAGCATGTGATACTTGAAACTAAAAAAACACAAACTCCCCAACCAAACAAAGACAAACAGAACAAAAAAACCTAAACACAACAAAATAACACCCAAAAAGGAAAAACAGACAAGTCAACTAAGTTTTCCAAGTTAAAGGAAGCAGTGAAAGTGAGGATCCCAGGACTGGTCCCTAAAGCAATTAAATGCAGACTGATGATTTTCAGTGTCACAGGCATGAACTTGGAAGGAACAGAAATGTCCTACTGAGGGGCAGAAGTGAAGACCAGGATTAAACATGCAGACCTAATCACAAAACACAAAACTACTGAAGGCACGTACATAGTTTCGCATATCTGAGCCTTCACCTGAGCAGTCATGGTTGAATGAATGTGAAAGTATTTGCAGGACTCGAAGATAACACCTCTAGAGGCTGTGATACAACAAACTGCACCCATCGAGTACTGGGCTCCCTTCTGAACACTGGTTACTCTTGTTCTTGTTTACCACAATTGGTGAAGTTTGCAGCTTGGCCCAAACCATGGGTCTTGTCCCTGCTGCCAGTGCTTTAATGCATTTTATATCAGATAGTTGAAAAATAGCAAACCCAAGGGGTCCAGCAAGGTTTACACAGCAGCCACTGCAGAAGGCAGCTCCCTCTCCTTGGTGAGCTCCTAGACTCTTCCTCCCTGCTGGCCCCTGCCTGGCTGCAGCAGGCAAGGAGAGATGCCCTTCCCAGGCTGCTCATCCAGGGCAAGGGTTCACCTGCTCCTGCCGCATTGTTTTGGACAAAAAAAGGAATTGAAACCTGGTGTTCCAGTTCCTGGCAGAGCACAGTGACAGCCAGGCAGTTGTGCAAGACTGGACAGTACCACGCTGCCCGTGGTTTTAGCAGGAGTGATCTAACCTGCCAGGCTTTGTGTATTGATGCTGTCAGTGCGCGTCACTTTGCCTGGAGCATGACTAATGCTGCCGGCTACTCTGCTGCCTAGGGAGTCTCACTGTAGCCCAGAGCTTCTTATGGTTTGTTTAATTTAGACTTCAAACTGAGCATAAAAATGCACAAGGCACATCCTTGCAGTCTGTATACACCTCAATTAAAGCAGAAGCAGTGGTAGGATCACAACTCCTGCTTGCCTGAGTCTGCGGTGACATCCTTGGCAAGTGTAACCTCCTGTCCTTTGCTAAAACTACTCTCACATGTACTATTTATCTCAGGCTGAGCTAAGAACTTTGTCTCAATAAACGATTTTTTTAAAGGCATTTGAACTCCAAAATATTTGGTCTGTGATGAACCCAAAACAGTGAGTGCTTTTTTTATTTGTTCACTGAATCAAAACACCACTTCTTAGAATGCTCAATTCCCCAGCCACACACAGACAGTGACAGACAGGGAAAGCACAGGAGCACGAATGCAGTGACATTATTTAGACAACCCTGGAATCTAAAGAGGACCAATCTTCTTACAGTGAACCACATTATATTTAACTTGAAGAACCAAACACTGAGGGGTCAGGAGAAAGTTTGCAGGCTGAAAGCAGACAATCCAGACTTGGATCTCGTTTCCTGGAATATCCAGAATCCATATAACCCAAATACATAGATTTGAGTACAGCCTGAGCTCTGAGTAACATAAACTCTGTAACAATATAACTTCAGGGAAAGGAATGTACCACTTATGTCCAAAGTGTACAGAGGTAAAACACATTTGCAAAACAAAGCTCTGACATCCTGCAAGAGTCACTTAACTTTACAAAGACAATAATATAATTTTCTAAAATCCATGGTCAGCACCATAACACACAGGAAACTACAGGAAAAGTCACCATCCTTCTATTTCATGCTGATATTTTGATAGCCTTTGCACTACATTTGTAAGAGACATAACATGATGCCATATTTTCTTATCAGCAGAGTAGAAACCAGAAAAAGAAACAAGGCAATAAAGAGCCTCTGCAATGGTTCACAAAATATTTTCAGCTTCAGGTTTTTGTACAGATAAAGGAATTTTTCTACAGAAAGGGAATGTCGTCTGTATCCAAGCTATGATGGATTTCAAAAACAGATCGTAAAAGGTCACCGCAACTTACAAGAAGAGAAAAGTGCTGTTAGTCATGCGAAGAGTGACCCCTCTGTCCCTGCCTGGCTGCAGAAGCACGAACGATGACTTACCACTGGCTACTCCCCACAGCCGCTCTTCTTGGAATTGCAACATCTGGTACATGAAACCCTTTCCTTCCTCACCGATGATGTTCTTGCAGGGGACCCTTACGTCTTCAAAGAAGATCTGAGCTGTGTCCGATGACCTCATACCCAGTTTGTCGATCTTTTTAGCAATATGAATGCCTGAAGAGAAAGGTGTATGAGAAAGACCACAAAAATTACAAGCACTATGAACAAATACACTGTTTTCAGAAAGAAAAGTCTGCGGATGTGAATGTATGTTCCAAGACAACAGTGAAATCTACCTTAAGGAAAAACGTATTCTGGAGTAACATGGCCCAAATCCTCTTCTAAAAGATTTTTCCACTTTATTAAACCAGCAAATCAGAAACTTTAAATGTAAAAGCCCCACTTTTTATTATATCCCCAAATAATAAATATTTACTAGTCATAATACTCCACACAGGTCTTCAAACAACGCAATATTTATTTGTTTATGTTTGATTTTTATCTAGAGTTACAATAAAATGGTGAAATTCAATTTGGCAGTATTTGCCAAGTGCCTGCACTGCTGTGAAACAGTACACAAATATTCAGTAAGGACAGAAAGAGAGCTACATTTTAAGCTGCAGCTAAGAGTCTTTCTCCTCCTGGAAATTCTCTTCCTTCCCTCTCTTCTTCATTTATCCTCCCCTACCTAGCCTATGCTGATTTTTTCTGGTACAGTGATCACTCTCAGTTTTCATGTGTATATGTTTGTGAGGAGGGTTTGCTTCCCCAGAGACCTCTCTACACAGCACTGACTCTGACCCCACGAGCACTGGTCTGTTGAAGATGAACCTGGTTCATTCAGGTCTGGCCACATGAGGGTTCAGCCACCTCGCCACCCTGGGCATGACTCCTTCCCATGGTTTGTTTTCCATAGCTACAAGTTCTTCCCTGCTGTTGTTCAGATGCAAGCATGGCTTATCCCTGTGCAATGAGGCACCTACTGTTTTCCCATGGCATTTCTCCTGTCTTCAGCTTTTATCTCCCTGTTGATCTGGAGCTAATTCAAATATTCAGGGTGAAAGTCAAGAATGTTTCAAAAGCAAAAGGAGGACAACAACCAGGCACAAGGATTTGTGCATAACACGTTAATTATATCTGACAAGTCTGTAAGTGTAGCAAAACAGTCCTCCAACTCAGCATATGTATCTTTGCCAGAAAACCAAATCTTTTTACTACTCATGTCCATGTTATTCCAACCAGCTTTGTGATGAGAAAGTATTCTGTTGTTATTTTCCTCTTTATTCTTTTTTCAATCCTCCACTACTCTCTGGCATGGCTCAGTAGAACTTGGCTGGTCACCACACAGATTGTTCTGGTCCCTCTGTCCTTGTTCATATCTTGCTATTTTCACAGCTTTCTGAAAACATCTCTTTCTGAACTAATACAGACATCTCACCCTTTACTCAGAGGAGGCCTTCAGACATATGGAAATTACTTTGGTTTTGTAGGCAGACAAAGTTGGCAGTCATTTCCTTCAAATTTACTCTCTCTGGCTGCACTAAATAAGGTTATGGAAATTTTCATCTCTTCACAGAGATAAAATACTGACATTATTTACAAATGCAAAGACTTCTCTGAGAACAATGTTCATGGACTTCCACAAGTTCCACTCAAGCTTTTTTCTCCACCAATCAAGCTGTAAACAGCTTGCATAAAAAAGACTTGCTTTGATATATGATCAATGCAGGAGAAAAATCAGGACAGCTGTATAAAAATTCTTGACTTTTGCATTGAAAATTATCCAGCAATTTGTACTCAGTCAGCCAAAAGATCATTTGTGGTTTGTTTCCGTATTAAAAACAGAGCTAAATAACCACACACTGAGCACTTTAGAAGCCCAAATGAAATCTGGAACATTGTTTCCCATTGGAATACTGCTATTTGGTTTCTTTGAGAGTTGCAGAGATCACGCATGGTCTAAAGCCAACTGGCTTTACGCAATCACTACTCCTCACCCATATGAAGATGCACTTACTGCTCTTGTTAGTGGGTGGTTTAAAAGGACTCTTCTCAAGAAAGCACAACTGCTGCCAGTTCATTATTATATTGCTAAATCAATCCTGCTGTTTACTTTTCAGATCCACATACAACAACCATTATTGAAGAAAGCTCTTACAGGCTTGGTTAGTGAACTAAATGTGCTGATGATACCGACCTGTAATTCTTCCAGACTGGGTTGTCATTCAATTTTCCTGGGTCCAGCAGCATCCCCCTTTATCATGCCCTACCAGTTTCACTTGCTCTTAATTCATGGCTCTCACCCACAAGGAGACCAAGCTGCATCAGTCACACGGGATGCCCCTTCTGAGGCTAGCACATGCTTTACATCGTGGATGACAATCATACATAATCATCTCCTTGGCCACTATGGGGGCACCAAAATCTCCCTTCATGTAATTATCTTCCTTCTCTTCCTAAGGAGTACTATAAATGAAAAATTACCAGCAGCAGCAGAAATTACTGGCCCAGATAACTCCTGGTGTTTGTCTGTATTAAACAAATTACACACAATAACTCACAAATCTGAATTTAACAAGGCCAAGCACCTGTCTTACTAAAATCACTGTAACAGAGCCATTTGAGCTACTTGCACCAGGATCATTGAGATGGATTGCTATTTCTCTCCCTGGGCAGATCTTCTCAAGTGTCTTTGATTTTTCAATTTCTCCCATTCCTCCAGCCTTCTGACAATCTCTTTTATTTCCTGTATTCTATTTTGAGAAAAAGGCAGTTGCTCTCTCCTGACACCATTTAGTGCCATTACAAATGGAAACAGACATTTTAAATTGCAATCCAAGAAACACACTCGTTCTCTTTTCATGGTTGCTCTTCTCCTTATTAACTCCTCCTTGCAATCTCCCCTAGAGCTATCTGAGGACTCAGAGGACAAACTAGAGGACAAAACAGTTACTATATCAGAGCTGCAAGCCATTTGTCTATATACCTCATACACAGACATTTTGCAACTTGCTAGATTCCCTTTCATTATATGAAAAATTTAACTGCATTTTAAAGACATTGTTATTGTATGAGGAGTATTCACCAAATTTGGATATCTATTGTGGATCCATGGTGCTGTTATCCAAACTTCATTTATGAGAAATGTATTCAGCAGTGTCTGTCAAATCTAGACCATGATTTGCTTCAGCCCAGATTAGAGAGTATATATACCTAAAATTAGAAGAAGCAAATCCTACTTTGTCTATCCAATAAACTATCTATTGCTGAAAGTAATAATTCATTTTCAGACTTGGAATTTTTTTCTCTCTTTTTTTTCCCCCCACCACACGATATAAATACAAAGCAACTTAGATTTTTAGCAAAAATACACCACAGATCCTTCCTTACCCAGCCATACAGGCTGGTGCCTGCAGAGGTGAGTCAGATATAACATATTTGCTCTCCATTGCAGTTGTTTTTGAGCTTTGACACACATATATCCACAGACGTTTGAGGGTGCATCATTCTGTGATGTCCTCCAGACACTTCCCGTACAGCCTTGGTCTGCTGCCCTCCATGGAGCACAATCTTTAGCAGACAGACATCCTTAGGATGTATCAAACCAGATGAAGCTTCCTGAAAAATCTCACTTCTGATATGACTCACCCACAGAGCACAATGAACAGTCTTAATACCTCATTTCAAAAGGTCACCAATCTTGGTACTGTGACCTCTTTGGAGATAAATATGTGTATCATCACAGAAGAATTAAAACACATGCATTTTGAGGAGCACAAATTTTGTTCCTAGGAAGAATTCTACATTTCTGCAGATCAGAATAAGGTGTCTCAGACAATTTTTCTACTCTAAATCTATTTAATGCAGGTAAAGAAGGTCTGTGTGTAGGCTGTGAGATCTAACATCTCCCCTCTTCTAGACAACTTGTGACTTTTTGGAATAAGCCAAGAGCTGTAAACCTCTAAGTCAATTTCTATGTATTTTATCTGCCACCAACTCTGGGTCAGCTGCTTTGTTGTTTTAGGAAGATTGATCTCAGAGAAGAAGTACTACATTTGCATTCTGACCCATCCAAGAAAAATCACAAGGACTTCATTCATTTATCATCAGATGGCTGATAAGTGAATTTATCTGGAAATTCAGAGCAATTCTGGATGTAAGTTACATGATTGCTCATCACTTCTCAATAAGGATGAAGTTCACACCTAGTGAAGCAGCTCAGGTCTGTCTTCCACGAGCTCCCATTCAAAGCCTGTCTTGCATGAGCAGAGGTAGCAGAAGCTCACAGTTCACTAAGAAACTGCTTGATTCTCAAGGCAACTCACTTGCTTGACTTACTCCACACTTAAATTCACTTAAAAGACATTCCCTTAAGAAGCTCTCCTCATCCTCTTCTGCAACACTGGAGACATGGGTTTTGTTCTCAGTCTAATCCACTAAGTGAACATAGAGACATTCCCTTCACTGCTATGGTGGTGTTCCTACATGTGAAATGCCAATAATGGCACATCCTTTGTGTGTAAAATACTCCGAACTGAATGAAAAAAAGGGCCTTGAGTATAAATATCTTATATATAAATATATTCATATACATTATTCTAGATTTAATAACTATTAAATTGCATTAAACTGTTTGTTTGCATAAAATAAACATTAATTAAAAATAAGTATTAAATATACTATGTATTATATAGTATATTAACATAAATTATTATGTTGCATATTTTTAAATATAAAAATGAGTCAAAACTGAAAAGGTTTAAAAACTTTTGAACAGGTGTCAAAACTGCAGAAGATCCCCATCAGTGCAATCTTAACTGCATCCTCTCTGGATGATGTTCTTTACACATATAGCACTCGTGCATTCTGCAAGGTCTGCAGAGCACTCAGGAACAGACACTGTGTGGCTGTACCATGGAAACTGGTAGCTTTAGTTCAGGAAGTATTTCTTCCATGTCTCCACCTGAATTGCTAGTCTTATTCAAAACTAAGTCCCTACTTCCAGGATATTTGAATTTTTCATTCCAGCCCACATTTAACTCTTAGACTATTTTTATAATTTAACTGGTAATAGTGCCCTGGTGAAAGGATCCCTTTGCACAGCACAGCCATGAAAACTCTGAATATGCCTGCAACTCTCTTCAGCAAGCCCACCAGGCTTGAGAGGTATTTCCCAAGTTTGAAATCTCATCTCTAAACTCTTTATACTTTTACCTTCATATGATTATGAATCATTGCCATGAAAATGTATCTGAACAACTTCTCTAAATATATTTTTAGTTAAACACCTTTCCTTCTTGTATTAGGCATATAAAGAATACCAATAAAATCAAATGAGAAGACAAAGAGTTTTCAGTTATTACCAGGTAGATTCATTGGCAGACATATGAGAGATTTATTTTGATGGGGAGGTCCTTCGCTGGTGTTTGCCAGGAGGCACATCCAGTCTGCCTGGCTGCCGGACGTAATCCACATCTTACCACCATTTATGACATATTCATCACCCTTTCTCACAGCCGTTGTCTTGATATCTATTTCAAAACACAGGAAAAGAAGGGTTATTCTTGTGAAGGAGGGGTACATCGGTCCAGCTATGACTGGCAGGCTCACTCCCTTGCTCTCAGACAGAAAACTATTTGGCTCTCCCGCATACTCCCCTGTCCTATAACCCTTCCAGGCCATAAGGCAAACTAGTCTGGAAAACTCATGGAAGGCAAGCTAGGGAAACAGGACCACTTCTCCCACCTTCCTTTAGATGGAGTCTTCATCCCAGTGGATGAGAGCAGAAAACTTCCTCGTAAATGTGGGGGTCAGAAACTTGTGAGAGAAGCATTTCATTGTGAGGTGATGTATTAGAGTTTCTCTTACTGTGTACCTTAATCCTGAGGAGGCTATTAATTCCAGAGTCATGGCTTAAACAAACACAAGCCTTGGTATCCGCTAATGCATAAACATAAACCAACATGCACTTCCTGTGTGCTCTTGGTCACCGTGCTGCATTTCGTTCAAAGCTGGTAAACTACTAAAGGCCAAGTCTATGCATTGAGTGTCTGAAGGAGTTCTAAACACCTGCTGTTTATACACCCTGGCAAAAAAGAATCTTATTTTCATCTGCAATGGTTCACATCATGCTGCAAACAGCCCTACCTGCAATAGACAGCCAGAGAGAATCATTAGTTATTATTTATTCTCCAGCAGAGTCTCCAAAGGGCTCCTTTCTTTCCCCTGCAATTGAACTTTGACAAGAGCCCCCCCCAGTTGATGAAGACTCTCCAACAGATATCCAGCTATTAGTAGGCAATGGTATAAGAGAACCCTACCACACTGCTAATTGCACTTGTGAATCTAACAAGACTATGAAATCCAAAAGAGACCATCCACTGAAGGGAGATCATAGACTTGAAGGGTAGGAGTCAGACACCAAGTGGAGTGGGCAGTTTAAATCATCTGGTTACACTGTCATACACAATCACCTCAGTCTGCACATGCACATTCTTCCCTAGGGCTCTAAACATAAACCAAAAGCAAATCCAAGTATCTGATCTTCATTTAGGAGATAAACTGGGACTGAGGTCAGCATGGCTGAAATTTTTTCTTGTTAACGAAGGCACAGGAGAAAAATGATGGGAGAAAATTATATAAGGTATAAAATAAGAAAGTATGGGATATAGCTATGGCTAAAGGAATGTAAGCAAGGGAAGGAGATGGTAATCATGTGGATAAAACAAGCAGACACAGAGGAATTAATCCAGTAAAAAGACTGTGGCAAATCTGTCCAAGGGACTCGATATGAAATCTGTATAATAATGAATGCCAAGAAGCTTAAGTAATCTAAAGTACTGGCACTCACAATACATGGACACAGACACTAGACACTCATATACATGGAGACTAAATAATAAATGAAAGACACACAAGAGCTGGAATAAGAAATATGACTGTACTGAAATGGTGTGACAAGGATGGGAGCATACACAGTGATTTACATCACACATCCCTTTGTTGTGGAACAGCCACTGAAGAGATTAGATAGAAGGCCCATAGAAGGTCTGTAAAGGAACAATTAGCACTGTGATGTTACCACAAATGTAAATATTCTTGTAGGCATGGCGTCACAGGGGCCTAACCACCCAAAACAGATTAAAGAACAAATGCCTTACTAATGAGAATGTTCAAGTACTCCAGATTCAATTGTTCACAGTTTGCTTCAAACCCTTGAGAAACAACTATTTTAAATGATCTCGTGAAGAATTGATTCTCTTTAGTTAGAGATTATCAATAAAAATTATCAAATCAATATATAATATATAATATGTTTAAAATATAGCAGGCTTTGAAAACCTACTTAACAATTTACTATGGTCAAGTGGACTCAGGAATATGGCTATGAAGATAATTTGGAATATTTGACAAATTATTTTCCCTGACAGAGCATATCTCTGGGAAAAGGCTACTTCAGTGGGTGCTCCATAACCCATTTTTGCAGGCACACACCACTGACTCTCACAACCTCTTACACAGCATTCTCTGAGAAGCCCTTCTAGGAAAGAGCACAAGGCATCACCGGAGGTGAATAATACAGCTGATGCCATAGAAGCAGCCAGGGCTGGTGACACCACTGTTCAAATCACACGTACTCAAGCCTCAGTTTTCTTCTCTACTGCACTCAAGTCCAGCCACGCACTTAAATAGATCTGACTAAAGGTAAGATTGGCTTCAACTTTTAAGGTCAATATTACAGTCAAAGATAGAGAACACACATCCTTAAAGTAAAATATGAAGAACACATATCTGAAATTTACATCATCAGCACAGGAAAAAAACCCCAACCCAAAACTTTAAAGAAATACCTTTGACTCTAACTGAATGAAAAATCACTTCAAAAAACAGGAAATGACTTTCAGAAAATGAACAAGATTAATCATGAAAGTAAGCTACAACTTCGAGATTACAATATAAGTACTCAATAGATTGAACTAAGTTAAATCTTGCAGATGAAAACCAACAAAATCAAAGAAGATTGTGGTGGCAAACAAAACTGTTTCAGCCACAGAAATTAAAAGAGGATGGGGGGAAAAGAATGAGACATATAGAGGATGCTTCAGAAAAATAAATATTTCACAGGAGATTACAGACAGATTCAAATATGACTGACAAAGCAAAACACCTATAAGAAAGATTGAAATTAGTGAAAACAGAGGTTTCTGGTTTTAGCAATCTGCACAGCCTCAAAATACATTTGGAAATAAAAGAGAATTCAATTTACCCATGGTATCTTATTTAAACCCAACCTGATTTATTATGAAATAGGATTTTCTAGAGAAAAATCCTATTGGACCCAAGCAAGTGAAATTAACACTAGTAGGTAACTATGAGTTAAAATTTGAAAATAGAAGAATTAGGACAAAAGTGGAAATGTGCATAAGGAACTCAGCAAAGCAGAAATTGCATCAGGTTACATTAAAAGAAGAAGTTCTGATGTGCAGGGAGAGTACTAGTTAAGCCCCTCCCTCGATATCAGCCTCTGGACAAAACCTACTGAATATTTGCATTAATGATCTTTAAAAGGACAGGAATACACTAATTAAATTTGTCTGTGACACAAACTTGGGAGACATCACCAAAACAAACAACTGAAGTATGGCCCAGCAAGAAAGGAATGATCTCGAGTTTTCAAATTCAACATGGCGAGTACAAGTACTCAGACACAATGTAGCAAAAGTGATTACCAAATCCTGCCATGTTTCAAGAGCAAACTGGTAATGAGGATGATCCACAGTTAATCACAGGATTCACAAGCCTGCAAGCTGTTGTGTAACAACATGTATTGGAGAGTAATATTTATACCAGGGTTGGAAATGTATTTGTGCCTTTATAGACACCATGTGAAATTCTGAGGTTTTATGCTCAGAAAAGACAACCTCAGTCCACAAAATCAGAAACGCTGGATTCCACAGAGACAAAACAGAGCAAGATATTTATGTTGAAGAGGTAGACATGAACAGTGTTAGTAGCTGCAGATACCTGAACATAACTTGAGGAAAGAGGACGTGTTTTCCATGATGTGTTCCTATATACACCCACAGACTACATTCTATAATTGTGGAATTGGGTGAGATAGAATGAGGCAGTGCCATTCAAACTACAAAAGTTTATGCTTTGTAGTACCAGAATCCTGAAACTAAAGACACTTTTTGTACCATCTGTACTGCTCTGTTTTTCTTCTCAAGCCAATTCTATGCTAGTTTTGGTGCACATGGTCGCTACTATGGACAATATAGAACAACTACACTTGAAAGCAGACAGGCGTTCCTTCAAATTGACATGAATCTTGTATTAGACTAATATACACAGTCCTTTTTGTTCTCCTGAATTCTGAATAAGTTAGTTTGAGGCACATTTCAGTTCTCATGTAAACATTGTTTTTGTTTTCTGTGTTCATATCAAATTCAGTTATTTTGGAACTGCAGGAAAAAATGTTAGAGATACCTTACTCTGTGTCATTCTTCAGGTTAAAATATACTGGCTCACACGGCAGAAGCACATCCCCAACCTTCACATGTGAACAGCAGCCATGGCCCTTCACTTCTCTTAGGGAGACAAACATCCCAATAGCATCAGCAACAAAAGGAAGCACCAAGTGCAGTTTCACATACCTCAGTCTGTTTACAGCTGGGCCATCTGGAGATGGTGCAAAATGGTGCAACTCAGAACACAAGCTATTGTTGCTCATTTAATTGCCCTTCAGAAGCAATGTAAATTGGATTTGGCATTTATATCAGGGATAAATCTTCCAGGACAGGGGAGAGAGTATTTTCATTTCATCCTGTCTCCAAGCTGCAGCATAGGTTCAGCAGATAATCCTCTTTGATTCCAAATTGGTTTTTAACTGCATTCATCTAAGTGTATCATACCACTTTAACTAGATGATAAACAAGATGCTGTTGAAGGCATATTTATATTATTTATTATCTGGAACACTGCATCCAAAAAATTAAATTCTTATTTAGAATTTTCTAAAATTAGATAGTCATCTAATTAAAATAGAGAGGCATTTATTAAAAGAAATAATGTTGCATTTCTTACATTAGCAAAATTCAAATTTATAATTACTTCAAAATTTACTTAATAAATTATTAAGTGCTATTATAAGATTTATTACTTAATTCTTAATAATATTTACATTATAACAAGAAATAATGTAGTTTAAATTATATTCAAATTCAATATTTTTATATTTATTATTTATAATTAATAGGTATCATTGATAATATTATTATTATTATAATTATTATTAAATTATTATTAAATATTATTATAATGATTATTAACTATTTAATAAACACATTTACTAAAATTATGGAATTAATTCAATATTTTTATATTTATTATTTATCATTAATATGTATCATTAATAATATTATTATAATTATTATTAAATTATTATTAAATATTATTATAATGATTATTAACTATTTAATAAACACATCTACTAAAATTATGGAATTATTCTTAGGAATAAACTCAATTAACCCAGAAAGGAAAACAGCAATAAAATATGCAGGAAGATTTAGTCCCATTATTTCATTATCCACATTAATGCTCTTGAAATCTACCTGCTGCAACCTTGCTTGAGCACTGGATGTTTATCTATTTGCCTTGAAAAAACAGCAGGAGTTTGGTGACAGAGGTGGATATAGGAGTGCTTGGATAAAAAATCTCTGTCATACTTGGCAAGTTTGTCTGTGGGAAGATGTCTCAGTAATTTGTAAGAACAAAATGTGGTCAACTTGGCCATGCTCTGTCCAACAACTAAACCTCTAAAAGTCGTCACTTATCATTCCCTTTTCCGTGAAGTCCACGATTCATCATCAGAGGAGACATCTTTTCTTTTTCAGCCATATCTGTTTTAATTTAATTTTTAGAATTTTCGACTAAACCAAGAAAAAAAGTTGCATGCAAAGTAACTAAATCATAAAGATAATAGATTTGACATTGCAAATCCTTCATTAGCTCTAAATAAAGCAATCACCAATTGAGAGATACTTTTGCTTCACAGGAATGACAGAAGGGGCTGAGGTGAAGTAAGGATGAACAAGAGGAAATCATTCCAAAAGTGATGCCGTCATTTTCAGAACAGAGAGGCTTTGTAGTTTTCCCCCCTTCAGTGGAAAGGTCTTTGTCAAGGCAGCTGAACAGGTTATGTTCCCTGTCAGAGCTGCACTACTGGAGGTGGCTGTGCAGCTGATGAGGTGCTGGAGTGCTCCTGCCAGCAGTGAGCCTGGACAGAGCAGGACAGCACTACAAGAAAATTGGAGCCAGCATAAAAGCTGCATTAATCTGTTGTGCTCAGCCTATACAAGGTTACTCCCTTTATTCACCTGACAAATATGATAAAATTGATTGCTTTTGGATGCATGAGAAGGATGTGTTATATTCCTGGAATGTTACTTTTTGCCCTCACCACACCAGACTTTCCTTCCTTTTGTTTCTTACAAAGGATGGGGGAAAAGTGAAGGGTCAGGAAACACATATTCTTTCCATTAAAGCGTCAGGCTGTCTAAAACTGACAGTTTGCTAGGTTAACTTACTTGCGACATCTGACCCAGCTCCAGCTTCACTGACTCCCAAGCAAGCCACAAAATCACCAGCTACAGTTGGTACAAGGAACTGTTTTTTCAACTCATGAGAACCAAACCTGCAACAATATAATGAAAAAAATTAGGATATTAAAACCCTATGAAGGTAAATTTTATTCAGAAGTTAGTTACAAATTTTGTTCTACCCACACAGTGATCAATTTTCCTGTGACTAGGTAAAAGCTGTCCCAGAGCCAAAAGATAGAATAAATACCCTCTGTATTCAGAGGGTATTTATCAGAGAAGCTGTGATTCAGTCTTCACCAGAAATGCAGTCACAATCTTTTCAAAGAAGTTTTAAAAAGCATTCAGGCATTTTACTCCCACAGAAACATGTGGTCTAGATAGCCAAATCTATCTTCATGGCTGTTGCTTTAAAAGTTCCAGATCTAAATAAACATAACCCCTGAGGATTCCTCTCAATGCTCCTGCACTACTCTGCAACTACCAGGATGGAGGACCTGCTCCTCTCTGTTGTTTTGCACCGTCTCTTTGCCCCATTTTAGTGGTGACTGAAAACTTTTGACATGTGATGGCCACCATCTGCAAATACCTGCATTTAAATTATGTCTATTTCACAACTACATTTAAATCACACAGTAAAATGCATTAATGCTTCTTCCAGCTGTTCTTTTATCTCCACAAAAATAAAAAAGGAAACAGCAAACGGTGGATGGTATTTTAACACAAAAATTTCACTTGGCTGTATTTAAATTCAGTTAAGAGGCACACGCTGTGTTCCTGTTGTTTAGAAGACTGTATCCCTTCAAGATATGCTACATCTCATTTCATGCTTGATTTTGTCCTAATTAAAATTTGCTAAATTCACTGATTTCTTCTTGCAGCGTGAATGGTGAGTTCATGGTCTAGTTCTCAGACCTGACACATGCGACCTAAAAATTCATTTGACCATGAAATGTCTTCTGTGTCCAGGAATCCATAAATTCAAGTTCCTCCTGAGCCTCCTCTTTGTTGTGAGGCTTCTCAGGTCATCATCACTACTCGCCTCCTTATGCTTGCTGGGGCCTCCTTCTGAAACATTGTCCCAGTACTTCCAAAGGAGCGGTGCCATTCAAGCTAAGACTAAGTCATCCCCTCCAACCAACCCTGGCACAAAGGACATGGGACAGGGATCTGGCAGACACTTCCATTTGCTGTGCACAAGGAGCTCAATTCCTAGCCCAGTCCCTGCTGAAAATCACAGCAGCAATCCCAAATACAATCAAGTAGCAAGTCTGAAGTGCCTGCTCCTTCCTCCAGCATACTGGAGCAAAGTACCCACGTCTGTTAGGCAGCAAACTTTGTTTTTTAATTTTCCTGATCAAGTATGGCTAGATGCACATTCATCATCAAAAAAACCCCAAACAGCCGAACCAACAACATGGAAAATCAGATTATGAGAGCAGATAGTGGTGACTTTTGGCAATGCTTTCTAATGCTTGAAACTTTGCTAACCTTTAGCATTTCAACAGAGGATTTTCACAGCAGGAACTTTGCTTAGAATAATATTTTTGGTGATGTCTTTCTTTGTTTTGAGTTCCGGAAAACAGTTCAGTTCTTTCCAAAAATGTGATTATAGAAGATGTTATTGTGCAATCAAAAAAAAAAAAAATTAGTTGGGCAACACTATCTTCAGAAGATGGTAGGTCTCTGTGACTTGCAGGATACAGCTAGCTTCTTGCTCAGCTGCTAGCTTTTTCATTAAAAACATGCCACTTTTGTAAAATTCTACCCATCTTAAATTTTCTTGCTATTTGCCTATAAACAACTGGGTAAAAAAAAAAAAAAGGCAAGTTCACTGCCTACTGCTGAGATAAGCAGCTCTAAACTGATTTGGTATCACTACAGATGTGACACCCTACAGGCATGTCTACAAACTCTGGGAAATGCGTCTCATTCACTGCCTCAGCTAGGAGCTGCTTTCTCCACTCTACTTGTAAGCAAGAAGGGCACTATTATATCTGAATGCATTTGAAAGACCTGGCAGAAAGTTATGTTCCAAACCACCAAAGGTCAGATAACTGGACAAAGCATTTTCTATGTAGTTCTTAAATTTAGAAAATCTTTCTGCATCACTTAGGGGACTCTGGGAATTACAGGAATCACATTCATGGCGTTTGTAGGTACACTCAAAAGTGTGCTGGATGAGTGCTGAACAAAGCCCAAGTTTATGAAGGCCAACAAAGAGCTACAGAGGCTTTTTAAGGGTTTGATGGTTGATTCCCACATTATTGCTTGATTTGTGCAACAATGCATAGCCAAGATGCAAAATCTCACTTATCTCTACAAGCAGGTTTAGAATCCCCACAACACACAGATACTTTTAAAGAAACCATCCAGGACACGGGTGCCATTTGAATCCATGACCAAGGACAAGCAGTTGGTCTTCCCACTACACAGCATGAGGTAAAGATGCACACAGGCAAAATTTCTTGTAGCAACCAGCTTTCTGTTTTCATTACCAAGCTTCACTTTTACATGTGGTGGTTGGGGGGGGGGGGGGGGGTACTGTATAAATAGCCAGTGGAATTGGCTCAGCAGTGGAGGAAAAATTCAATAATGCAGACACAAATTCAATTAAAGATTTTATCAAGTTAACAACAATTTCAGTCTTATTTTCCAAGAACTTCCACTTTAGGATTTCACTAGCACAAATATGCATAACTTTACTGTTTTACTACAGCAGAACAGAGTAACACAAGGCCAAAAAAACTGCAATGGAACAAAATCCCATTTTCTTTTACCCACAGATTTTCTTTAAACCCCTGAATAAAAGGCTGGCGTGGGGGCAAGGTAGTACTGTCTGAAGTCTTAAAATACTATTCTTATTCTCAGTTGGACTATAGCTAAGTCACTGTTGCAAGAGACATCCTGAACTTCTTGCATTTAGAAAGCTTCTATTGCATTATGCAAAGGAGAAGAAAACTTTAAAAAAAATTTGTTGTAGATGAGACCTCCAGTGAGACCCCCTTAATTTAAAATTCATAGCTATTAGGAGGGGGGTGGGAGGGGGTTTATATTCTCCATTTCAGGAGAGGCTCCTGCCTTCCTTAGGCACCTGTCTTTCCAAACCAAGATGGAGGAAAAAACCACAACAAATCAGATTAAGAAAATGCAGGAGCCTGAATGATAATACGTGATTAAAATGGGAACACTGATGTAGCTGACGAGAAAAAGAAAAATTATTAATTGTCTAGAATGAGCATATTTAGGAAGCATGATATATGTGCTACAACTTTAGGACTGACACCTTGCAAAGCTGGAAAAAGAGCAAGTAAATTATAAAGCAGAATTAGACTGACCCTAATCATAACAACTAAATGCATCCTTAGTATTACTGCACTGGGATGTAAGAAAAAGTAAAAACATGAACAAATTGGATTCTGGAATTAAATTTTTTAACTGGTTGTGGTACCAATATCTTGTGTTTGTAAACATATTATCTACTACTCAACAAGGTTAATGTTTTAATATATAATCAATATAACTCAACCATTAAAAAACAACAACAACAACAAAACAAAACAAAACAAAAACCCAACCCCCTCCCCCCCCAAAAAAAAAAAAAACAAACCAGAGAAAGTATTTTCTCCCCTAAAGCAAACTGAGAGAAGTAGAGAGTAGCTTCTTTCCTCAGGCATTACTGAGTAGCAACTAGGCAGTAAATCTACACAGTATTGCCTTTTTCTACTCATGACAATTGGGTTTTAGGCTAAACCAAGCTTTCTGAAAATTACCTTGCAAGAGCAGGGGTAGCCATGCCAGTTTGCACTCCAATGGCCATGGGAATACCTCCACAATGGATATTTCCCAGCTCTTCTGCCACTGCAATATGATAGGAGAAGTCCAAACCCATGCCGCCATATTCTGAGGAAAAAACAAATCTGTGATTCTCATATTCTAGACTGGCATAAGCAACAAGAGAGGAAAACAACAACAACAACAAAAAAAGATGTTGCTACTGCAAGGACTTGCCAACTGCCATTTAACTGCTAATTTTTAAGTATTTGACAATTACCAGCTTCCCTTTCACAAAAGCAATACCACATTATTCTCTACAATGCTGAGAACTGAATTGAGAATGACACCTGCTCTAATTACCTGTGTGCACATCAGGTCACCTCTGAGTATCCTAAGTAGCCTTATTACTTTTACTGGAAACAGCAGGAAGAAGTGACATGCTGTTGTAAATGATACCAGAAGGCAAAATTATTCTTTCCAACAGCAAGGTCATATGAACAAATCACACCACAAGGTAATAAGTGCTTTTATTTCCCCATGATAGCACCTGACACCCGCTCTCATCACACAACACAATCATCTTTCTCAAACTCAGCAGTCAAGTCAGCACGGAGCGCGACCACACGCAGGTCATGTTTCTATTCTAAATTACTGCTGTAGCTCAAAATTCATGTTAGACACAACTGCAGGACCGAATGCATTTATTGCACACCCTGCACCCTTTATGTGCAGTGATTAAAGCACTCTGTTCACAAGGAGCTGACAACCTGGGGGGCTGGCCCAGTGCCAGCACAAACCATTGCTGCCCCTCTCCCTCCAACATTCCAATCTGCAAATTCAATTAAAGAAGAAATTATTCTTCACCTCATTCCCATGCCCAGTGCTGATAAACCCACTACACAGTGAAGCACAGAAAAAAGCTACATTGCTATGATGGATGAGGTAATTTTTAGCTGTATTAAATAGCTTATAGTCCAAAGGAAATACAGTGAGAAAGTGAAGGTTAACGTTACTACTTGACGTCATTAGTTGACTGAGCAGCTTTGATTAGATAATGTTGCCTCTTTTTTTTTCTTTTAGCTCTTTTGAAGACCGGCTAAGAAAATTTCAAATAAATAGATACAGACCCTCACCCCTCACACACACAATAAGGGGCAGATGACCCTTGTCTGTTTTCACTTGCTGACCTCAAACACTGAGTACACCCTTCACTGACCTGCTCTGAAGTTTTCAAAAAACACCATTAAATAAAGGTCAAAACACCACAGTGCATATAAACATGAGGCTTTGCATGCTATCATCTGTTTCCTAAACCCACAAAATCTATCTTTGTGCATCCTTTCTTTGCTGAAAGGAAAAACACAATAGGAAAGGCTAAGCATAAAGTTCTGTTTCCAAAAAACATTTCTCCTTAAGTCATACTGAATAGTCTAGACTGTCAGAATTATAAAACTGCTGCTTCTCGAAACTTTTGCTTGAAAAGAATGCTTCTTAAAAATACACACAAAATTAAAGTTCCTACTGAGAGCTTAAGCAGCATAATGAAACATCAGCAATGTGGAAATGTGCTTAACATAACAAATAATCTAATTTTATTGCCTTTACACAGCTCCTATCAATAAATAAATGTTCTGAGGGTTCTGAGGAGCAGTAAGGAATGTATGTGCATGCAAAGGCAAGACTATTTAAAGATATCTGTCATGAGAGGGATTTTGCTAACTTGGTATGAATCTATAGCAGAATTATAATAGATAACCTCAGTTTTGGCACCTCACAAATCCTTTTCATTAGACTTTTTAGATTTTATTTTAAATCAATCAATGCTTTTATTGCCAGACTACTGTTATTACTGATTTTATCTTTAGTTTTGTCTACCAGGCAGTTATATTCCCGTCTTTCACTTAAAATTCACAGATCAAAACCTTAGTTTCTTGATTTATCCGAAGTAACTTCCCAGGAGGAATGCTATGCACAAAACTGACCCAAAGAAGGGCTACTTTATCCAAGTGGACAGCTTAGAGACATTATTTGTGCATATCACAATCCATTGTATATTAGCACATAACAGACTCATCTTGCTCTCATTTGAGACAAATTAATAAGCAGTACACTTTAAAAACAAAATACTGCAAAAGGCCAACTTTTAAAGGGATAACAATGAACGAATTTCTGACCAAAGGGAATAAAGGAGCAGAACGAAGCTTTGAGAGCTGGAAGTGGAGAGGGAAGACCTGCCAGGCAAAGAGATCCAAGATTTTATAATCTGGGAATAGATAATGAAGAGACCACCACAGATGCAGGCAGGAAGGGCAGAAGCAAATGGTAAAACCATTAATCAGACCACACCTTAGCTTTCATCAGTTCTGTTCCAGAAGCCAAGAAGCTAAAGTTTCATGGACAAATGTGAGTGATTTGATGGACAATGATAGGGAATGTCTTTCTGAGCCCCGAATACTTGATCAAGGTGAAGATTGATTTGTCAGAGCAGTCTGAGCCACTATATCCCTGGTATTTCAGGTAACTTAGGCAGTGGCTAAACACAGTTGTGTCCCATCTCTTTGGAGAACTGGCCCTCCACACTGAGCCATGCTGCCAGTGGTGTCACACACAGGATTAGCAGGCAGTACTGGCTACAAGCACCAAAGGAATTTCCTGTTTTCCTCAGTTCCCAGTGGCAGCCTGGTGCCCGCAGACCTACTGCCAGCACTCCAGGCAGCGATTTTGGGGCTGGTGTGAGCACATTTCTCTCCATGTCATGGGATGCAGCTCTTAATCTGAGACAAAACCACCAAGCCGTTCTTATTTCCATCTGCCTCAGTGATGATGGTAAAAATTTTATTAAATTAATGTTCAATTTTTATTTGGAACAGAACTTGGGAATAACTCCTTTTGGAAGAGGGAAGAACTTTTTGGAATAACTCTTATTTGCAAAAAAGGCAATATGCTGGGGGTAGTAGGTTTGTATTTGCCAGTCTCATCAACAAACATCACTTCCTGGAAATATCTGTACTATGATGTAATGCTAACAGGTCAATTAAATTTCAATTCAGAAGAGCATACACCATGCCTAACACAGGAGTGAAAATTTTGGTGAACTTTTTGGTGAAAATCCATAGTGAAAGAAACCAAATCAATTCCAGATTTGATTGCTTTACAAAACATACAAACACACACACACACACACAAAATCTCAAAAAAAAAAAAACCAGCAAAAAACTCCACATCAAGAATAACAAACTATATTTAAATATTCAGATGTAAAAACATTTTTGGGGTAAATATTTCAGTTTACTTTAAAATGAGATGAGGGACCTTTAGAGAATTGTTTGGCTACATTACCATTTTTAATTTGCATGAAAATTAAAATAACAAAGCACAAAGTAGATTAAACTAGGCAGAAAGTCTAATGCACTATTGCTTTCATAGCTGAAAACAGGTAGAAAGAGGCAACTCAGCTATGTTCAAATTGTTACGGTTTCGATGATAATAGCACAACTTCCAGCTGTTAAATGGCCTAATACAGTATCACATCGTTGGATTTCAGGTTCTTTTACAAAGCAATTAACATATAACGCCCAAAGCAGAGAGCACAGAAACAGACAAATAAATAAAGATTCTGCACTGCAGCCCATGGGCAGGACCCAAGCTGCAGGAAGGAAAAAGTGTGAGGAGGAAGGAAGAGCAGAGAGGATGTGCTATGGACTGACTACAACCTCCCATCCCCATCCTGCTGTGCTGCTTGGGGTGGGGAGTGAGGTAAATGAGTCAGAAATGAAGAATGGAAGATGAACCTGGGAAGAAGGGGAAGAGGATGGTGGAACATTTTGTTTTAATTTGCCTTTGCTTCTCACTACACAAATCTACTTTAACTAGCAGGAAATTAAAATAACTTTCCCCCAGCCAAGTCTGTTTTTTACTGTGATGGTAACTGGTGGCCAGGCTCCCTGATTTTCCTCGACAGCCAGGCCTTGGCATTGTATTTTCTGCCCTGCCCTGTTGAAGAGGGGGAGTGAGTTAGTGGTTGGCTAAGATGAACCCACCACACCATGGTCACTATATTAACCTATTCCTTTAAATTGGATCTCTGCTTTTCTACTAATCACCACCATCACATTATTTTAACATTCCCAACCCACAAAAGCTCCTTATTTTATACAGGTCAGCAAATTTTTACATGTCATGTTTGTAGATCCTGGCAGTGGAGTAGGAATCCAAAAGAACACAGTGAATCTTAAAAAACATTTGTTTTAAAAGACACAAGTGTACATTCTACTAAATCTGACAATTTAGGGTATCAGGAGTTTTACGTATGAATTTAGGGTAGGTGGCACAGATGACGCCCAAAACTACAAATAAAAGAGTAAGACATGATCTCCAGTTGCAACATGTCAAAACAGAAGCACTGCTGAGAAGACCAGTTGAAAAACAAAGGCAGAGAAAGTCTATGAAAAAGGTAGTCATAAAGGCAAATGAGAAGCTGAAGTCTTTCATATAATCATTTCCCTTTTGTGAAGACCAGAGCATTCCTTGCCACTTGTTCAAGATCCCTGTTCAAATATGACTGTTCCATGATGAGACAGGCTTGAAGTCTCTACTCAAAAATTTGTAAGAGTTTACAAGTGTCTCTATTTGGAATTTGCCTCTGAACCCCATCTAGTAGCTGTTAGTGGGAATGACAATATCTGTGGTGAAAAGGGTCTGTAAGTGAATTGAAGCAAGATGAAACAGGTGGTCCTCACAGTATTTTAAGAATGCAAGTGAGCCTGGATAAAGGAATGGTAATAACATAATGCAGCTCTATCCAGAACTCCATTTTAAATGTTTAAATAATTTATCTTGTTTACATACTTTCCAAAGTTTCAATGAAGTTTATCTACACCAAAGAAAATCACTCAGTATTATTTCTACTCTGGGCATCTACCACAGTGCAAAAAACCCCCAAATATGTGCTTTCATATTTGTCAAAGACAAAGCATTAATCGAATCCCAGTTTGAAGACAGGACTGAGAGACTCCTATATTTGACATTAGGATGACAAAGCTAATTGCTAGTTTTCATCACAGCCTACAATTTTAAAATCAACAGAAGTAAAATTTAAGTGTTCAAACCTTATTCACCTGTCATAA